ACAACCTATGCAGATACGTACGACGTGAGTCAAACCTGGGTTGATTTTGGGTTGCCGGGTCAACCCAACCAAATTTTAGAAACGTTTCGAAATCTCAAACATGAACCTGCCCTATATGGCAAACGGTTTGACCCAAACTAGACTTTTTTGTGCCAATTTCAGGTCAAGTCATATTTTGACACTCTTATGTATTGCATGTTGCTCTGGAATCCACCAAATCAAAATAATTTTGTATGGATTCCCATCTATCCAACTTTAATTACTAATTGAAAGCTTTAGAGTATATAATTATCATTAAATAAGAGCAAGGAGTGAAAAAAGGAAAAGAAACCTTTAGGGGCAAAAAATACCTTGGGAGCAATACGACGCAAAGGGATGCGACATCGTGGCATTAAGATATCTGCTTGAGAAAAATATTTCTGGGATGCTGTAACATTGGGTGGCATTAATGCGGCACTGGGTGGCATTACTACGATGCTCAATTTCCTGTTTAGAGGAATATGGGCGGATCTAGAATTATTTTTTAGAGCGCAGCAATGCTATGGAGGTGAGCATCACTAGGGGTGTAAGTGAGTTGAGTTGGCTCGAGCTCGACTCATTAAGGAGTTCATTAGTCAAGCTTATCGAGCCACGAGTTTGAGCATGAGCCTATAATTGAGCTTATATATTAAACAAGCTCAAACATGAGCTCAGCCTGGCTCAACTTGAAAGCTCGTTGAGCTGCTCGATTAACTTACATCACATTTGAAATCAATTTAAATTAACATTATATAATATATTTAATATTTTAAAATTAATCATATATTAAAAATAAAATTCTATAAAAAAATAAAAATTTTAATTTAAAATAAAGAAATCAAGCTCAACAATCGAGTTAAGCTTGAGCTTTCCAAATGAGCTCGACTCTATAAGCTTTTAATGAGTCGAGCTTGAGCTCAGTTAGAATTAAACAACCTTAGCTTGATTAACTAGATACTCGACTCGTTTACACTCCTAAATACTGCAGTGGTAGATTTAAAATGAAGTGTTAATATATATATATATATATATATATATATATATAACTCTATTTTGTCATTTTCACCTCAGTACCCTTGCCGTAGAACAAAGAAGTAAAGGAGAGGGAGAGGAGAAGAAGGAGAGAGAAAGAAAGAAAGGGGATTTGGATATCGTGGCTCGGGTTTTGTCCATCGGGATAGTTACATATTTTTTAGAGCACGAAGTAGACTTTTGAACACTTATCTCTGATCTTAATAATTTTATAAAAAGATATGAATAAATAATTATTTTTATAGGGCTTTATAATATTTTTACCATGCAACTTTTACTATATTATTGTGTGCTTTATTTTGAACACTTTGACTATAAAAAAATAATTTTTCATCGATTATCTTCTTTATAATGATTTTTGTGTGTATTAAACAAATAAGGTATTTTTGGCTTTCATGATAGTTCTTGAAAAGTCATAAAATGTTATTCTAGATATTCCCTGTAATTGTTACTGGATTGAAAAATATTTTGTGAGTAGGCTTTTACACATGTAATGTAGCTTAATATTACCATTTTTGGCAATTCAAGCATCATCATGGTCATAATAAGCTAAAATTGCATTCAATATGCACGATTCATGGCATGGCATTGGAGAAGTTATGAACATTAGAATGTTACGAGTGCACTCTATAAAGTGTTACAAGGGCCTTATATGTTCTATTTTGACCCCATCTGTTTTGAGTAGATGTGGGAGGGATTCTGCTCCTAATTGTTGAATGTTGGTGTAGGAGGTTACTATGTTTTGTTCTGTTATTGCCCCATTTATTGTAAGTAGGTTTTGGAGGTCAAAGGGAGCATTTAAGTGAAAGTGGAGTTATAATCAAGTATCAGAACATATGCATTATACTCATGCATTGCATACTATGATGATTTGATAAATTCAGTACTAATGACAGCTTAGTTAGTTTTGATAGTCTCAGGATTTCTTGTATAAATTCTAATAACATAAGAAAGACATGTACAAATAAGACTCTGATGGTAAGTACTCTCTAAAATCTCTGATATCTATGAGGGAAACTATATGTGAAAGTATAACTAATAATTTTGAAACCAAGTGCACTTTGATGATCCTAAGAAACCATGTTCTGCTAGTGTTTTATTCCTTCTTTATTGATTTATTGAATGTTTAAATAAATTGTTATTAATTTTTTAAATGGATATTGATATCTCTATTAGGTTTGTAAAGGAAGTCTACTGAGCTCGTTGTGTTCATCCTATGATATTTATTATTTTTTCAGGCAAAGGGAAGAGCCTAGCAGAATATAGAAGGGTAAAGGTGGGGTCATATGAATCAACATTGTTGATGTATTTTGTAATATATCATAATTATTTTGATGTATAGATTACATGCAAACTGGATTAGTGTATATGGGTTTTGATAAGTTAAATGAAATGCTATTTGAATTATTCTTATTATTATTTTGGATTTTATAGATGGTTATGGTTTATTCTGCATTGAGGTTGAGTTAAAACTAAGGATTAGATCTTCAATCTTTACATTAAATCTTAGGGTGTCACATGACCAACTCAAAATACTCCAAGTAATTGATCTAAATAATTAGCTTAAAAAGGAATTTATGTCCAAAGGAGGAAAAAATGAAGTTAAGAACCAATATGCAAAAATCAAAAGAGAAATAATAGAATTGAAAGAACTTATCCCATTAGTTAGCATTGTAAACTTCTTTATTATTTTAATCCCTAATAAGAGAGTCAAGTTTGTTGTTAAACTAGTATAAGGATCCTCACAAAAAAAAAAAACATAATCATTAAAGTTCTTAAAGTTTATGAGAAGAGAGGCATTTTCTCCAACCTTTTCTAAAGGGGAGCATATTTAAAATTCCCCAAACAATCCAAACCATATCAACAAAGTTAAGAATATTATTAAGAGAATCCTTCTAATACTAAGTACTTTAGGCCAATCCTTGAGGTATGCATTATTTATAGAAATCCAAAATGTTGATTTAAAATTTTCAAATATACATAATAACCATAATAAAAGCATACCGAAAGTTATGACGTAAAAGATGTCAAAATATTCAAATTTGTTATTTTTTATAAATTATATAGAAATAAAATACAATAAATTATATGAGTAAAGAAATCATCGAAAATAGAGGTGGGATAAAAACAACCTATCTTGCATAGAATAAATTTTCTAATTGGCATCCTCATAAAATATGTTGTAAAATTGCAAAACCATCTAGAACTTTTTTTCTCACATATATCTCCCTTACTTTCTTTCAGATCCAAGAAATGTAAAATAAGTACTTAAGAGACTTGTGGAGAGTTTATATATATGTATAATAAAGAGATGGTATGATTAAAATTATCTATATTATTTATTTTTAAATATAAATTTTTATGGTTCTTGATGTATGAAGGTCACATCATATAATTATCTGAGTATGTAGAGCTATTTCTTTATTTTGATTATTCCGCTATGTAGCTCAATCTATATCTATGTATATTTATTTTGATGATGAAATGAAAAATAAAATTTTGTGAATGAGTTATTTTTAGCACATCGAATGTTATTATTAGCTATGCGATTATTGTTGTATATTTTAAAGTTTAAAATTTTGGATAAAAAAATTTGAGAAGTTTCTAAAACGTAGATCCTGGGATTCGCCTTTTGCAAACCAACACGATAAGACCTATCCACTTTGTGGGTCTTATCGAGTTGGATTGTAACACTACGGTCCTTCCAATCTCCATCACGTATTGAATATAGTCCTTTCAACCACTATCATTCACCAACTAAAATCCTTTTGATCTTTGTTGATTGCCGACTGTTCTTGGACAACCATGACTATGGTCCCTAGACCTTTGTCTCACAATATAGTACTTCGACCTTTGTCATTCAACTATGGTCCTTCGAAATATCATCACCCAACAACAGTCATCCGACCACTGTCACCGTTTATAGTCCATCGATCATTAATCTTTGATTATTATCACATGGCTACTACGACGCCTACTAACTTCATCATCTGTCATCACTACTGATGCCAACACACGACATCACTTATATAATTGGTGCACCAACTTAATCACTAAGATTTATGCTGGATTTTTCCCACAAGACCCTTCCAAGTTCAATAATGTAATATATTCCGTATCAATACATTTCGTCGAGGAGGGGCATCATATGTAATCAATGATAGGCAATACTGGAATCATTTTAATCAGGTCAAACCCGTGATTTTTCTCTTTATACTGTAAAAACTCTATTGCCACTTATGATTCTTGCACTTTGTACTTTATATGTATGTGTGTTGTATCTTCATATAAAATTAGGATGTTAAACTATCTACATCTCTAGTGCTGCAAATATTTCAACACGCGATAATTATCATATGCATTTATTTTGCGTCCATCCAAATAATTTTAAATATTTTAAATATATCAATTTTTCACTGTGTTATATTTTATTTTACTTCCAATTTCAAAGACAATTTTTACGCATGCGTGGTAGTGATAAAAAGTTAAAAACTAAATAATGTTTGTATGTAACGCTAGATTTCTGAGTCCAATTTTTTGGTTTCAGAATTATCTTTTAGTTTTTTTTTTTAATGTTTATTCTACTTGAGCTTTGCCCTTTTGGTTGCTGCTTGATATAATTTTGGTTTCTGTTACATCTGGGATCTAACTGCCTCTGTCATGTATTTTATAGTTAATCAAATGGGCTTTGAAATCCACCGTTGCTTAGCTTTGTTGGTGGGATCCGTACTCGATTTCCCTCGAGCGTCAGTACCTCTTAAGTAGGGCTCAATCAAGTATGGGCCAGGAGGTTTTTGGGGTGGGTGTCTCTTCTAGTTCAGCCAAGGATTAGTCTTGCCGCCAAACATCCTTTTGAAGATGTCAGCAGGTGGATATCCCGTTCCCAAAAAATAAAATAAAAAAGCTTTGCCCTTAATTTTTCCAAAAAAAAAAAAAAAAAAAAAAAAAAAAAAAAAAAAAAAGTCTGTGCAAGTCTCCTGCTTATTGCAGAGCGCACTCTCCCTCTCTCTCTCTCTCTTTCTATTTTAAGTGTGCATGTGGATTCATTTGAGAACTGATAGCATTCATTTCTCCACTCATCTTGCTCTCCATCTTCAACTTCTTGGAGTACGGGTTGCCTTTAAGCTGTCTCCTCTCAATTAGAAGATGAGGTAAATTTGATTCCAATTACCATTTTCAATTCGCTCATAACACTGTTCATTTCCACTGCAAACCATTTATCTTCTCATCTCTTCTTCTCAAGGCGCTCTCACGGTGTTCTTATCCTTTTTCCAGGACAGAAGTTTCCTTTTTGTGTGGTTCTTCTTCATAAATGTTCTCAACTTTATAAACTGAGCTTAGTGTAGTGCTATGAGAACATCTATCAGAGAAATCTTGCAGTCAAAACTCTGTTTATATGCTTCTACACTGAAATCTTTTTCCTTTCAAATCTAGTTGTAAAATCTCTTCAAGATTTGAGCTTTCTTGAGGTTTTCATCTCTATTTGTTGCATATGTGGCTCAAAATTATTTCAGTGCTCTGTTAATATTTTTTTATATGTATTGACAGTACATTTTAGTGTTAATCTAGTGTCAATAGTAAGTAATACTGTGCAAAATGCTGATCAATGCAAGGAATTTTTTTTTTACTTAAGTTCACCTAAATCTTTTTTCAAATTATCTGGTGTTCTCTAGCTAAAGAGTTTCTGATGAGATACTATCCTTTACACACAAAAAAAGCCTTGAAGTTTAGAAGAATAGTCATTTAACAAATTTTCTGATATTTTTCCTCTCTGAACTGCAGAAAGAGCCTTCAATGACTAGATGGAATTCTCTCATTCTCTAATTCTATAGGAAATCATTTGATTCTCTGATATCAAGTGGCCAAGCAGAACAAATATAAAACTTCATTGTGATCATGCAAGATAAAAACAAGAATTCCTGTGCCAATTTAAGGAAATCTCCCGAGCAGCTTGCAGGTTCCAGTAGTGCTTCTCCAAGTATAATTTCTGAAATAGCTTTCAAACCAAAGGCTGTCAGGTTGAAACCTGTAGCTAATCTTTCATCTGAAATAGCCTTCAAAGTGAGTTCCTGACTCTTCTTTTTCAGAAAATTTAGATGACTTTGTTGCTGTTGCTTTATTGAATTTTAGTGATCAATCTCTTAAAATTTCAGTGTGATGCATCAGTTCAAGCAGCTTCAATGGCTTTGGATATGGAATCAATTGATATATCAAAAGAAAACTCAAAAACTATCATCTTGTACAGACCAATTGCTCAGGTTGTTCCAAGCTCAGTGTTGCTGAAAAAATTGGTCAGTTCATTCTAACTTGTAATCTTTTCAATTATTTATAATCAGATAAGCTCAAATTCAGAAGATTTTTCTCCAATGAACTTTGAATTATGACTGTAGAGATTTTATGTGAGACATTTGGCCAAATTAGGAAGATAGATTAAGGCTACGTTTGGGACAGCTTTCTTACTGCTTTAAGAAGCAATAAGAAAGCCGTCCCAAACGAAGCCTAAGAAGTGATTATATGTGAGAAACTGTAGAGAGTAGCATTCAATAACAGCAAGAATTTATGAAGAATGATGATTCATAAAGCAGATTCCAAATAGTTTGGATAATTCTAATAATGAATTATTTTCTTCTCAGGAAAACCATGAAGAGCATAAACAAACATTACTAGATGTACACTTCCAACCTCAAGAACTAAATCAAGTAAACTGTAGCCAATCCACTATGAGTCTTCATCAAAGTTTGACATCATCAAGCAATGCAAATAATTTTCTCTGCTCTTCAAATTCTTCTCATGAGAGTAAGAAAACTAAAGTGAAATCTCAACAGATAACAAAGAATGGAGATCGAAATTCTTTGGATGGATATAATTGGAGAAAGTATGGGCAGAAGCAAGTAAAAGGAAGTGAATATCCAAGAGGCTACTATAGATGTACACATCCATTTTGTCCTGTGAAGAAGATGGTTGAGAGATCAAAAGATGGAGAAATATCTGAAATTGTCTATAGGGGAGATCATAATCACCCAAAGTCTCAAAAAAAAGAGCAGATTTCATCTTCCAGATTAAGAGAACAGACAAGTGTTCTTGATGGAAATGGTGGAAACTTCATGGACGATCGAGCGTTTACTGATTTTCTTCTTGAAGAGAATTTGCTTGAAAATAAGACAGAAAATTGTGATGTTGAAGACTTCTTAGATACTGGCATTAATAGGAAGGCACTCTACTCTGATGATTCAGATACGGTTCTTCATGCTCTTTCTCTTAGTTTTGGTGCAGATCTCAACGGAGGAAAAGCTGCTGCATTTTCCACCAGGGATGGTTATGAGAAGAAGAGTCAGAAAAGGTATTTATTTTACTAATTGGTTTATTATGAGATTAGAAACTAAATTTAAATTTGACTATCTGCATCACTGCATGAATATATCGTACATTTTTTTTTTTTGTGATATTTAGGACCATTAAGGCAAACTCACACACACACCACATTTGTAAGACTTGTACCCAAGACTTTTGGTTGGTAGCCAAAGCTCCCAACCAACAGACCAAAATGAGCTACGTAGTAAATTCATTTATGTATGTGATTAAGGCTTTGTATGGTTTGAATTAGGCTTCGTTTGAGATTGCTTTCTTAATGCTTCTTAAAGCAGTTTTTTAGTATAAAAAATTATACTAAAATTATACTTTAAGAAGCAGTAAGAAAATCCTCCCAAACGAAGCTTTAATTAGAAGAAAGGAAGTGAAACGGAAGTACTAATGATTAAGGAATTGAAATTGAATTTTTTTTTGCCTTACTAGTTTTCTGAGAAGAAATTTAATGAAAAACTATTTTAGTTCTTGTTTGATTGATGAAAATTTGAGTTTTTATTTTTAGTGATGTCGGTGTGTGCTAGTCTCAATAATGACCTCATATTGTTAATGGGAAGATATTTTTGTAAAAAAAAAAAAAGCATTTGCTTGCATTTCATAGGTAAAATTCAATTTCCTGTTAATTACATTTGAGCCAAATGCTCAATATCTAATTATGAAATAGCATTCCCTTTAATTTCTTCAAACCATACTGACCCTAAAAGTTTTTTTTTTTTTTTTTTTTTTTTTTACAGTTAAAGTCTGATAGTGTTTGCTAGAATTTGGAATAGATTTCATGTTTCTCGTATGAATGATAAGCATTGCAATGATAGAAGCAGTGATGCAGTAGTATGTTAAAAAATCAATAACATTTTGCGTTAATTTCATATTTTCTAAATTATTCTAGTTTTTTTAATATTTTCAATACTTTGTTTCAGTTTTATAGTATTCAATTTAAGAATTAGTATTAAATAAACAAGGGTTCCGACATTATGGACGGATGTGGGTAAAGAAACTAATCCATGAAAGTATAATTAAAATAAAAAACTTGGAATATATGTTTGTTTACAGACAAATTAAAGGAATTAATGTATATTATTATTCATAGAAAGAAGTTCTGTGCATTTAGGAAACTAAATGGGTTGGAGAGAAGACTAAGGAGATTGATAGTTTAGTATTTAAATTTTGATATTCATGTAGGAGTCGTACTAGAAATGATGTAGTAGTGAGTATAAATAAAAAATTGAAGGATAATGCTATAAAAATTAATAGAATTAGAGATAGAATTATAGCTTTATAGATTGTTGTTAATTTGAAGATTATTAATATTATAAATGTTTATGCTTCTCAAGTAGATTTAAATGTGTTTAAAATTAAAATTTTAAAATGACCTAGAATAATTACTACAAAGTACACCTTTTGAAGATAAAATTTTTATTGGAAGAGATTTAGGCTTTGTTTGGGACATTTTTCTTAGTGCTTCTTAAAGTATCTTCTCAGTGCAAAAAATTATTTTTTGTACTAAAAAATTGTTTTAAGAAGCAGTAAAAAAGCCGTCCCAAACAAAGCCTTAAATGAACATGTTAGTAGAGTGGTAGAATTTTTAAAAGCATTCATGGTGCCTATAAGTTTAGAAAGATTAATGAAGGTGGTAGTATCATGTTAAATTTTGCTCTAGCTTATAATTATTTAGAAATTGCTAATACATTTTCTTAAGAAAATAAAGGAACATTTCATCACTCATAAAATTGGATATAAGAAAACTTAGACTGATTATTTTCTTATAATAAAAATAAATCGTTTAGATTACAATGATTATAAAATTATTTTGAGTGAAAGTTTATGGACCTAACATCGTTTGTTAATTTTAGACTTTACACGATGAATGAGCGAAATATGAAAAATAAAATAAAATGTTGTCCTAGGATTAGGTAGAAGTATTTAAAGAATGTCAACAAAAATAAATTTAAGAGTAAGATTTAAGATCTTAAATTTTTGATTGTGCATTAGGACGAAGCTAATATTAATTGAGAAAAAAATAGTTAGTGATATTAATAATGTTGCAATGCATGTGCTTGGTGTATCAAAACAAAAATCTCCTTATAGTAAAAATAGTTAGTAGTGTAATAAAAATGTACAAGAAAAAATATAAAATAAGAAGTTTTATTATAAAAATTGATTTAGATGTAAGAACTCGAAAAATTGAGAAACATATTGAGGGGCTAGTAAAGAGTATAAGAAAGCAATATGCGATGTAAAGAATTTAGGTTTGAATGATTTATATAATAAATTAGATATGAAGAATGGCAAAAGCAAGCAAAGAGATATGATAAGTAAGGATTTAGTTCAAGTGAAGTTCTGTAAAGATATTCAACATAGGTGGATGAGATATTTTGATAAGTTTTTCAATAAAGATTATGAGAATATGATTAATTTTAATGAACTTAGCACCCTAAATAAAAATATGGAATTTTATTTTTATTGTTTTATTAGTAAAATTGAAATTAGAGACTTTAACTAAAAAAATTGTGAAAAAAAATTGGACTTGGCGAGTGATTATATTCTAATAGAGGTGTGAAAATGCTTAGGAGATGCAAGAATTTTGGCTTACTAATCTTTTTAATATTATTTTGAAGACTAAAAAGATTTGAGATGATTAGAGAAGGAGTTTGTTGGTTCCTATTTTTGAGAATAAAGGTGATGCACATAAGCGTGCAAATTATGGAGGAATTCAATTAATGTATCATAAATTAAAATAATGGGAGAGTAATTGAGCATAGATTATGATGTAACACTAATATTTCTCAAATTCAAATAGAATTCATGTCGGGTAGATCTACTATGGAAGTTATACATTTATTGAGAGATTTGATGGATAAGTATAGAGAGAATAACGAGGATCTATATTTGATATTTATTGATATATAAAATGCATATCATAAAATTCCAAGAGATGTGCTCTGGAGAGTTATAGAAGAAAATGAATTAATAATTCTTATATTTAAGTCATTAAAGATATGTATGCAGGAGTAGTTGTGTTAACATAAGGTGGTTTGACCAAATATTTTCTATTTCAGTTGGATTACATCAAGGATCAGCTTTGATACGTCATGCAAAAATTATCTTGATCGGACATGAATCTCGAGGCAAAAAGCTAGTTGGAAACTTCAAAATTTAATTTCGGGAGCATCCGAACTCCGATTTCAGTGAGCTTATAGTCAAACTGAGCGTCTCGGAAATACGAACCCGACGGCACCAATTAAGTTCAACCCAATCCGAGCCCAAATGAGTCCAAATCAAGGGCTCAAAGTGCTGTCGGAAGGTTCAAACAGCAATTTGAGTTACCAAACGGTCTCCGATTTTGACGAGCTTATACTCGAATCGAACGGCTCGACGAGACAAATCCAATGAGCCCAAGATCGCTGAATTCCGACATCATTAAGGCCTCCAAATGTCCAACAAACGGTGCACGATCTAAGGGTTCACTATCGGCCGTCCATTCGAACCAATCCCTATTCGCCCTTGATCTCACTCCTATTTACTAGAAAATCTATAAATAGAGCCCTCATTCTTCACAAGAGAGGATCCAAGAAAGAGAGAGAAGAAGAGAAGAGAGGAAGAAGAGAAGGAAGAAGCTCCTCCTCGACGGCCGCCGGACCACCGTGGAAGCGTCGTCGGACCACCGCAGAAGCACCGCCGGACCACCACAGGAACCTCGCCGGACCACCACCGAAGCCTCGCCGGACCACCGCCGGAGTTTCATTTCACCACTGCCTTAAGGTCCGACGTTCAGTACCGACGTCCTGCTTAAGGCCCGACGTTCAGACCCGACGTCCTGCTTAAGACCCGACGTTCAGTCCCTACGTCCTGCTGAAGCCCCGACGTCCTGCTGAAGACCTGACGTCCTGCTTAAGACCCGACGTTCAGTCCCGACTTCTTGCTGAAGACCCGACGTCCTGCTTAAGGCCCGACGTTCAGACCTGACGTCCTGCTTAAGGCCCAACGTTCTGCTGAAGGCCCTACGTTCTGCTCAGGGCTATACCATCAACACCCGAACTTTCAAGTGACATCAAGTCTAACACCTGACTCCTATCGAACAGTTACTGATTGTAAACCTGATCACCCTTGGAGGGGATTCAGTTCTTTGTAACCAACTCAAAGTCTAGTGGAAATATTTTCAACTGGGCTAGGCCTCGTGGTTTTTCCCCTTTTCAAGGGTTTTCCACGTAAAAAAAATTTGTGTTCTCTGTGTGTGAGCTAGTTATCCGTACAACGCTAAGACGCAGAATTAAATCTCTATCGCCGCGTATTTTCTAGCCCGCAACAAGCTTCAAGCCCATATATTTTTTGTTTTAGTCATGGATGCTCTTATGAGACATTTACAAGAGGATATGCCCTAATGTATGATTTTTGCTGATGATGTTCTTCTTGTTGATAAGACTAGAGAGGGAGTTATGAAAAACTTGAATTATGGAGGTTAATCTTAAAATTTGGAAGTTTTTGCTTGAGTAGATCTAAAATCGAATATATGGAGTATAATTTTAGTAGTAATAGATCTAGCGGTAGGATTGTGACTTTGGACGATCAAATCAATAAAAAGAGTACACATTTTTTATATATCGGCTCTATTGTTCGAAATAATGGTTAAATATATTGAGATATTATTAGTGGAATTTAATATGAATAGTTAAAGTGGAGGAATGCTTCAGTCCTATTATGTGATAGAAAAATACCCCTCAAACTTAAGGGAAAATTGTATAAGATGATGGTCAGACCTATAATATTTTATGGAATAGAATGTTGGCCATTAAAACAAAGCATAAAATTAAGTAAGGTGTTGCGAGGATGAGGATGCTCGGGTGGATAAGTGTCTTTACTCTTTAGACAATGCAAAATGAGTATATATGTGAAAAGATTAGAGTAGCTCCAGTGGTAGATAAGTTTAGAGACAGTCGCCTTAGATGGTTTAGTCACTTAAAATATCGGTCTTCCGATGACTCGATTAGATGTATTAGATTTGGTTTACGTTAAGAAATGTATAAGTAGACCTAAAAAGACTTGGTTAGAAAGTATTAGAAATGAAATTTTTTTTATTAGTTTTAAATGAGAATATGACTCTTAATAAGACACTATGGAGAAAAAGGATTCATGTAGCCGACCTCAGGTAGTGGGATAAAGTTTTGTTGTTGTTGTTATTGATGGAATTTTCAGGATTTATCTATTTAAATTTTGTATTAGTTTTATTTTATCGTGTGACTTTGTGTTTATAAATAAGGATTTGAGTGTTTATAATTTGATTATATATTGTGAATTGAAATTCAAAGTTAAATCCTCTTTCCCTCATTAATTCCCCCAAACCTCTCTCTCTCTCTTTCTCCCCTCTCCCCTCTCTATTCTTTCCTCTCTTCACATGAATCTCTCTCTCTTCACCTATTATTTTTCTCTCCCAATGTCCTCACAAGAACCATAAATCATGAGACTGCTTTAGGTGTAATTTCCTATTTTTGAGAAACCATCACATGAAAATCCTCTTTCAATTATAATTCCCAAGGTGTCACATGTCATGCCCCATCTCAATGCAAGCTCTTCACAATAATTGGTCATATTGACCTAGGGTGTAGCAGATAAGCAGAGTTTTGATCCATTCATTCAGTACCAATATATTCTTATCTTTCATAGCTCCCCTCAAGACAAAAGCTTGAGCCACTAAACTAAATCAATAAGGTATTATAATTAATAAGATAGCCATGATTACATTTGAGTCAGTACTTTACATGCATGCCAATTCATTTACATAATTTAATTAGCTAAATATGTCGATCTTAGATGTGATCATGCTTGTTGAATCAAGAGCCTATTCATCAATGTTTTGCCATGATAAATAAGTACATTCTTATTATGAGATTTAGGTATTATTTGGGATGGCTTTCTTACTGCTTCTTAAAGCAGTTTTTTACTAAAAAAAATTTAATTTTTGTACTAGAAAGCAGTTTTAAGAAGCAGTAAGAAAGCGGTCCCAAACAAAACCTTAATTATCATTTTATTTTACTTTTCTGATTTGTATTGCTGGATTTATCATATTCGTAGAAAAAATGGTGAAAACACAAATGAATCTTCAGTGGCAGCACATAAAACTTCAACACCTAAAGTAGTGGCTGCAGTAAATCACAAACATACAACTGATGATGGCTATCAATGGAGGAAATATGGACAGAAGGTTGTTAAGGGTAACTCTTATCCAAGGTTAGACAAATCAGCTTGATTTACTCATTTGTTTTTTAAAATCTTAGGCTGTGTTTACTGATTTCATAGGAAAAATTATGCAATGCTCAATGTAATTTGTGTGGAGAAAAATTTTCACTTTTATTCTACTACTCCTTAAATGTTCAACTTTTCTAAAATATTAGGAAAACTAAAACTCCTAATGATTTCCAATATCAAATCTACTAAGGTTTCACCAAACCTTGTAGTATTATCAAGGGACCAGCTGATAGCAAATTATCAGGTTTGGTATAACCCTTAAATTCATCTATGAATCAAGTAGCATATCAATCATATATGTGTCATAGTTAGAAGGCTATTACTGGTAAAATAATAATTTGATTATGAGCTCTTTAGCCTCTAGTGTTATGGTGCCTTCATTCCTTTCTCTCAGCTGAACTGAAATGCTATATATCACAAACATCATTTATGTTTCTGATAGGAAATACTTGAGTTATCAAGCAAATCTAGCAATAATCGGTAAAAACAGCGAGCAATAAGCGGATTTCAGAAAGAAAAACAACAAAAACGATGCAGGAATTTCAGAATATTGGAGAGAAACACAAGGAAAACTTCTTCAATTCAATCCACGAACAAGAAAAGCAAGACAAGATACAAGTTTCTTCGATTCGAGAGGAAGATCAAATCGAAGAAACAGCTCTCCAAATCTCTAGCACACCTAGAGCCCAAGACAAACCCTAGATCTCAAATTTCTTCCAAATTCAAGTTGAAAATCTAACCCTAAAAATAGAGACTAATTAAAGCAAAGCGGACAATTACAAAATCCCTAAACAACCGTTAATTTAAATTTCCCTTCCAAGAAAAACTTAATTAAGAAGTGGGTCCCATAGCTCCAACCGCCCCCTCTCTCTTTTCCCTTGTTCCGCCCGCCCCTTGGTCCACCTCCAGTAGCATTGAACCAGTCAAGGATGGACCAGTTCAGTCGGCCCCTGGGCCGGCCTAACAGTTTCCTCTAGCCTGTTTGGGCATAATGAGTAGGAGAAAACATTATCATGTATATTATTTAAGTAGAATATTTTACAATTTTACAGCCAACCAAAAATACAATTCCCATACATTTAATTTATGGCAATCAAGCAGCTTTGAATCAATAGAAAACTTTGTTTTCACTTTACATTTCATTTAAAAATACATGAATATATGGTAAAACCAAACAAACACTAAAAGAAGGAGAATTTAACTTCTAACAATGACAAGCTCAACTGACTTCTTAAATTATAGCAAAATAAGAACTTACAGACTAACTTTACTCAACTCAGTAAGCATGCTAAAAGAGTTTTCTAATCCCTGACCATATAGTTATAGATTTGAGGGCCAGATTTGCTAAGACTTTATCAGAATGTTGCTAAGACATTATCAGCATGAAAAGAAATATCACTATTAGATAGAAGATGTAGCATCTCCTTCCTCTTCTACAGTCTCATCTTCTTGGGAATCCATAGAGGTAAAATTGGGAAACATTTAAACTCTTCAATATTGATAGGATTGTCAAAAACCTTAGCTTCATGAGCACCATCAGCCTAAAGCTTCATTTGGAATGGCTTCCTTACTGCTTCTTAAAGCAGCTTTTTAGTACAAAAATTTAATTTTTGTAATAGTAAATTGCTTTAAGAAGCACTAAGAAAACTATCGCAAATGAAACCTAAGATAAACTTCTGATGTTTCACTCTCCTAATATAAATTTCCTCTATAAATGGGTTAAATGATAATATAATTGTTTCTTGCAGAAACTATTATAGATGTACCAATCAGAACTGTAGCGCTCGCAAGTATGTAGAGAGGGCATCAGATGATCATGGTTCATTTATCACAACATATGAAGGGGATCACAAGCATTAATGGAACTGATGGAGATGACAAGAATGCTATTGGCATTAGACTCTTATACTGCTGCTCTTTATAACATTGGAGGAAACTTTTGGGTTATACAAGGCTTAATTACTTGGTTCACTTCTTATTTTTAGTTCTCTCTGATAAACTTGAATCGGATCGATTTTAAATTTTTTTTTTTTTTTCATTTCTAAAATGTTGTCTCTCAAACATAAATTTTTTTCTTACTAACTATTTTTCTTATTGTAAAAGTAGTTAAATATTATTTCAAACCAAACTTTAGGCTTCATTTGGGGCAGCTTTCCTGTTGCTTCTTAAAACAACTTTATATTATAAAAATTTAAATTTTTATACTAAAAAGTTATTTTAAGAAGCGACAAGAAGGCCATCCCAAACGAGACCTTAATCTTAGTTAAAAATTAATATGATCTTTATATAATTTTTAAATCTTAAATTTTAAGATAATTTTTATATAATATGTATGGCGCTTCAAGGTTTAATTTGAAAGAATTGTTTATTTTATCTCTTAATTAGTATATCAGAGTTACTAATTTTCATTTATTTAAATAAAAACTAGAAAAAATGACTATTGGCATCAAAACATTCACTATATTCATCATTTATCTAAAATTTATTTATAATAGTTAGAAGTTTAATTAATACAACAATGCATTAGTGTTTTTTTTTATTACTTCTAACTATAAAAGAGTAAAACTCAAAATAGAAAATGAAAAATTAAACCTGAAAATCTTGTTTATAAGTTTTATTTTTTTAGTCTTTATGTATTTAGGTGTATGTTGGCAAGACAATCGAATCCATCACGAGTGAGGATCACAATTGAACACTTAGTTTCTATGTTAAATCATACTGTACTATCATAATCATGTTATATGATATGTTGTTTAAAAATGAAATCAAGTAGTTTATAAAAATTAAGAAAATAAAAAAATAGTATAATTAATTATACTGTATAATCTAGAGCATTCATGATGACTAGTTATTTTGATAAATGCTAGTTTGAAACTCTCAAACTCTAGATTTCTAAAAATAGATACATTTAAATTTTGAAATTTGAACTAATTGTACTATACAATCTTGATCTTATTGTACGTATATTAATAAACTTTGCATATTTTGATTTGTCATCCAGGCAATCGAATCAATTCAAAATCATAATTGCACTTTGTACAGCACAATCAAAATCGTACAGAATGAATGCATAGAATATTTGGTGGATGAATGATGGTTCATCTAGGATGATTCCTGAACTAATTCAACAAATCATATTGTACGATTCATATCATACAATGTGATCCTATAGAACTTAAAATCAAGTATTCTCCCATATTTTGTATTGTACGATTAGTATATTAAAATTTTAAAATTAAGTTTTTATGTAAATTGCTAATTCTGATTCTTTTGACCATGTGAGTGTACAAATGAGTAACCAAAGATGTTTTCTTCTTGAGAGAGAGTCATTGGAGAAGGAGATTGATGTTCTCTTTACTTGAGAGAACTTGCCCAACCCACTTGGTAGAGAGGGTGAGGTTGAGAGGTTGTTCCTTGGGGATTCAAGAGTTTTGTAAGGGAGATCACATGGTTGTCCTTGTCGGCTTGTATCTTTGTTCTCTAGGTTTTGTGTTGGAGCTTTTGGAGAGGAGCTCTAGGGAGAAAGTTTTTGGGTGAAAGACTTGTGACTAGTTGAAGAGGCTAGGGGAGCGGTGTCTCCACCGTTACGAGGATCAGAAGGAGGGTGAAGGCACCTCTGCCTAGCAAGAGGTAGGAGGCAGAAGGAGTTTAGGCTTTTAAAAGGAGAAAGAACTTGTAAAGATCATTCTCCAACTAGAAATAGAGAATGAACTTCGCCACCTTGCTAAGTGCAAAATGAGTGGTTGATAGTGGAATTTCAAAGTAGGAGGAACTTAGGGAGTTGATGTAGGTTAAGTTTGGCCGGACAACTATAAAATTTTTGTTTGCATTTCTTTTACTTTTTTGCAATTTTATTTCTTGCAACTGCATTATCGAGATTTGTGATTTCAAAATTATTGTGGTTACATTCAAGTAAAATTTTCAAAAAAATTTCTTTCAATCAAAAGTATTTGTTTTGAATTAACTTTTAAATTAGCCTTAAGTAATTTTTATTGCTCTGAAAAATAAAAATTATAATTAAAAAATAAAAAATATTTTCAACACTTTCTACTCTGGTGGGTTTTCTAATAATGCTTTTTTTTTATTATTTCATTAAAAAAAAAAATTCTGACCCAACGCTGCAACGCTCATGACCCTAACATCACTGAGTTCACTCAAATTCCAGAAAACTCGAGAGCTTAGCACTACAACGTCCAGTAGGCTCAACACCACAGTGCTTACTTGATCAATTTTTATAAATTTTAGTGAAATTAAAGTCGAGACTATTACAATATATGCTTCCATTTTGTAAAGCTATTTTTGGTGCATTGTTTTTTTAACAAAGCGCTATAAGAATTTCTAAAAGTGATATAAATATTTGATTAAAAAAATTATATATGCACGATCTGTACGATTTTACAATTGATATATCATCAAAAAATTATCTTGATCGGGCACGAATCTCGAGGCAAAATCAAGTCGGAAACTTCAAAAGTTAAATCCGGGATCATCTGAACTCTGATTTCAGCAAACTTAGAGTCAAACTGAGCGTCTCAGAAATACTAACCCAACGACACCCAATTCGCCTCAATCCGAGCCCAAGTGAATCCAAATCAGCCCGACTTTCCAGTTACGCCGGAACTATGCCTGATCTCCAAGTGACGTCACAGTTTTGCCTGAATACCATTTAACGCCGGAGTTCTCCCCGGCCATCGATTGAATTCGGACTTCTACCCAACGACGGACCTCCGCTCGTCGCCAGATTTCTATCTGACACCGTACTTCTACCTGTTGTCGAACTTTCGCTGGATAACTATCCAATGTGGGATTTATATATATAACTGGACTTCTTCTTGACGCCGTACTTCTGATCTCCGTCATATGACAATAGTCCTTCCGATCTCCGTCGCCCGCCGACTATGATTTTTCTGACTTACGTCGCCCACCGACTACAATCCGTTCGACCAAACAAACACATCAATAGTGATTCTTTGTATTAAAATCATGTAATGTACTCTATAAGATGTACATCGAGTTAAGGCTTTCACCCAATGAAGGGCCTCATTTGTAATCAACCGCAATACTAGTGGATTCATTCAAACTGGGCTAAGCCCCTTGGTTTTCCCCCTTTTCAGGGGATTTCCACGTAAAAATCTTGGTGTCTCATAAATGCTACACCCCTCTCTTATCTGATTGCGTGCCGGATTTTCGTACAACGTTAAGACGTTAAATTCTATATTTCTCTACCGCCGTGAATACTCTAGGACGCAACAACAATAATAACAAATAATTTTATTTTTGTAGGAATTTGAGTCATCAAACTTAAATTTAGAGGTCAAAATAATACAAATCAAATTAATAGCACAATAATAGATCAATTTATTCACATTTATAAAAACAAGAACAATTTTTTATTCATAAAAATACAATTGAAGACACAAAATCATGGTTGCCTTAAGGTCTAAAACATAGAGTGAATTATCTTCTTCTGTGCTTTGTTTTAGCTGTGATGATAAGTACATCTTTCTCATTTCTGGTCATGGATGAACAATGACATTTTCTTGATATAAATCATTTGAGATATTTCAAGCAATACTATTCCATAAAGTTTTTAGACTAGTTTCCTTTATGTCTTAGCTTTCACTAATGAAATGACAGGAGTGGACTTCTAACAATCTCATCAGAAGAAAGGAACCAATTCAGGAGAAGAGTGATATTATTAACTTCTAAAAGCTTCTTACTCTAATTTGATGAGAGGAGAGAGATATCTTAATACGATCGATAGGTAGGGGTATCAAAAGGGGTCGACAAGTCAGGTTCGGGTCCAACCCGAGTTGATCCAGGTCCAAATGGGTTGACAACACTGTGCAGGTCTAGCCTGCACGGACAACGTCGACGACACGGACGACATGAGTGCACGGGACGTGACGATGCTTGGCTCTCAGCCTGAGCCTCTCATGCGACGAGACATCAAATGTGGTCAAGCACTCACCTGACATCAGATGTGGTCGCGCACTGTCGCACTCACGCTAGCCGACGACTAGATGAGACGTCAGACCGCGGTTCCCGGTTCAATCCGGTTGGTTTCTTGGGTGAACCTGAGCCCGTCCTTATTATAAACGGGTTGAAATCCTAAACCATAACTTGACCCATTTCTCAAACGGGTTGACCCTAACTCGGAATTTTTTAGAAGAATTTTTGAGTCTTGTCAAATTTTGACACCCCTATCGTTAGGCCACAACCTTCAACATTATTCGATCAGCACAATAATATTTTTGTCTTGAGGCTACAAGATGTTGATTAGAATTTGTCCGGATAGCACAATCATCATCATTATCATTTGATTTTTAATATTTCTCACCAATTTCCATCTAATGCTTATGAACAATTGTCACCTATCAGCCATCAAGGCTTGATGTTCATCTTCTTCGTACATGATTGTTAGATCACCCTCTTATCATGATGAGAGAGGGCTTATTACCTATCATTGCTTAATTTTTTTTTTTTTAACAAAAAAAATATTTATTCAATAAAGAAAAAGGGGCACAACAACAATTGACCAACAGCCAGAGATACAAAAAGTAAGAACATAAAAAACCAGACAAAGAAAGAGAATCAGCAAATAGGGACTTAGGAATGGAGGCCCCACACCAACCTCGCAGCCAAGCACAACCCATCCATAGGTGTCAGTAGTACGAACACATTTCAGAGTCCACCAAGCAACAAAATGAGGCACCCAGGTTGCCAACCAGCCCAGCCAGCCAGGGGAAGCTGGGGGCCTCCTCCTCATCGTCCAGCCACAATCTAAAATCATCGACGAAATAACAAAAACCAAAGACAACACCCTATTTCTTCTTGCCTTTGTTTTTATGCTTCTTTCCACCCACATTGACAAGGGGCGACCACTTAGTAAACTTCATATAACAATTATAAATCAAATATGATATATGACATAAGACCCTATAGTAATCAAGGTTGTTTGCTCGCTTGATAAGAATGTGCGACGAATCCAACAGGGTGACTGAAACCTCCCATTTAGCTTGAGATTGAAAAAAAACTACGAATGGT